CTTTGGGTATTATTAGTTTGGGTAATTTTGGGGCACCCTGTATAGTTAAATTCCAATATAATCAAAATTTCCGAATTCAGGGCTGCGGTGTCTACTTGGTTGGAGCGGTGACATGTGCCATCGATCAGCTCTTCTTTTACAAATGGCAGAGTCTTTTACCGGATGATAGTCGGCTGAAGTGGATCACGTGTTTAGCCCATTAAATATTTTCATTCCAGATTCTCTCGCATTGGCCGCTCGATCTATTTATTCACCATATATGGCTTGCACCCAACACTGATGGGACTGAGCTTCGAGTTGGTGCCTATTCAAAAGGGGACAAGAAGTGAATTTTTGAAGATCGCTATTCAGGTATCTTTAGTGGTTGTGTGTAATTGTAGCCCTTGCTTGACAAATTCGAATTCCACTGTCATTGTTTACTGTTTAGTACTTGATTGTACTTGTACAAAGCTTTAGACCCATCCAACGTACAGCTATCTGCTGAACTATTCTGATATCTACACGTCTGCCCGGCTTCCCATCTATCCGGATGTCAGCTCTATCACTGCCGTCGATATTGCCTTATTGATGGTCTTTTTTAGCATCGTGATACCAGTATCTTTGGTAAGAGAGGACCTGTTGAATACATTTGATAGCGAAACAAAAAATGGACTGAAACACTAAAGGGCTAAAACTGTTCTAGAAAATATTGCTCTAATCCAAACCAATTCTAGGCCGATATATATCGGATTTACCCAAACCCAATTGAAAACCCTACAATTTCGGTGTGATCCGAATCGAGTTGAACCGGGCCAAAATACAGAGCCCGTATGCGACGCTCCGGAAAAGTTCCGGCGAGGTCTCTGATCTTTTGGTGGTACCTTTGATCGTTCCGATAAAACGTCCATGGTTTTCCCATGATAATTTTCCTCTGGAAGGAAAGCACGTTCCGCGGGAAAACCATGGAGGTTTTACCGAAAAGATCAAAGGTACCGCCGTAAAGATTAGAGACACCACCGAAACTTTTCCCGAAGCGTAGGATACGGGCTCTGTATTTTGACCCGGTTTAACTTTCAGAATACATACTACATTTTTGCGTGTAACCGTATCTTGTCAAATGCCGTGTTACATATGAGCGAAAAAACGAGAAGCCTTCAGAAGAAACTCTTCAGGACACTTTGCATTCAGGTTGCAAATCATGACTGTATAATGATAGCAATTAAAGTCGGTGACCGTTTGAGCAAGTGTAAATTCAGATGGCGGTCCCCGTCGTCTCACACACGCTACCATGGCTCTACTATGCTATTGTGATCATTTGGTCACCAGGATATATCAACCAACGTGCGTGATGGATTACTTTTAGTGGCAAACAGATTTGCGTTATCAGAAAAAAGCATCTAATGGTGAAAAAATGATAACAAGCTGTAAAGGAAAGAGGTGTAAATCGTTTTCCGGTGAACTAACCTGTAATATCATAATTCTTGTAAATGTAAACCAAAACATTGTTTAGCGCTGAATAACTTCTTCTTTGCAATCTTTGAAATGCACGGAACGAACGGATCGATTAGCCTATTGTTGATGATCGAACCATATAGAAGATTCACTCGGGGAATACTGAAGAAGATTCCCGTCTTGGGGAAATTTACAACGCTCGATCTGAAACGAATCCACATTTTCGGGACGTCGTCCTGAACGGAGCAATGAATTTTTATGGACATTTGTTTTACCTATAAAACATAAAAGCTATTCAAGCTAAAATATTTGTTAGAATATTTTCTCAATATTTTCACTTGCATTCTTGGAGTGAATATTAGGTTTTAAACTAAGTCTTGACCCCAAATTCAAGGTAAAATTAACTTGGAATCTCATTTTTAAGAAAAGATCCTAAAGAGAATTCAGTAGGAGCAAGCTGATACGACTTTTTGGAGACATTTTGCAAACAAGAAAACAGAAAACAATGAGTCAAACGCTAAAATTAAGAAATAAATATTTCCTCTATTTACATTTTCCCAATTGTAATTGTGGCAGAGTCTAGTGAAATTGAGATGCTTATCATTTCATCGATCAACAAACTCTCGTATCACCGAAATCACCGCAATAGTTCGTGAAACGTTTTTGAGAAAACTAAAAGAAGAAATCACATGAAAAACAAAACGTTTACTCTGATTTTTTTAAATCGAAAAACCTATCCCATACGCGTATCATAAAGAATGACTCTCTTCCTGACGGAAATGCATTTACCGAAATTTAGATAGAGCGTAGGTTCAAAACCCTCAAAATTGTCAAATAAAACATAAATATTTGATGCAAAGACATCAGAAAAAGATCTTTTCAAAAAGGCAAAAAGAATTGTCGAACCCAAGCCAAAAAAAGGTTCAAAGACTCTGTAAGCCAGCACTCTAGCCGCTAGACCACCAGAGCCGTTCGAAGCTCTATTTTGGCGGCTCCATAAAGAGTCGGAAATCTGATCGAATTTTCTATGCCAGATTTCTCGCGTGGGTGTTTGCAACTCATTTTTACAGATTCAGAATCAGCATAGCCGATTCTATAAGATGCACTCAGTCACGAAGCTATTCTCAACTTCGAGTTGGTGTCATTCCCTTATGAGGTTATTGAGAAAAAAACTTTTTCTTCTATAAAACAAGTGAAAAACAAGGAATGAGAAAAACGTGCAAAGTTGTTACAAGGTTTTCAAAAGAGTTTTGTAATCAAAATTCAAACAATTTCAATTGATTGCTCTTCCTAAAAAAGAATAGTCCTCTCAGCGAATTTAAACCGTTTCCCAAGCTACAGTTAAAGTATTCTTTTCTTTCACATTGCACACTTTTCGCTGTGTTTTTATTTCTCTGTCTCTCAATTTATTGAATGAACGGAAAAACGTAAAGTCGAATTTTATTGTTGAATCCTTCAAGTTATCATCAAACGCAGCACCTAAATTGGGTGTAAAATTGAACAAAATTGATTACCAGAGTCGATCATTTTAATTTTCCCCAGACTCACGCAAGGCCATTCGAACATAGACCCAAGTGTAGGTAGCCGACGCAGGTTGGGTTCAATTTCACATCCACACATTGACCGGTGCACTCGCCTAAACAGCCATTAGAAGCTTTGTTTAGTTCTCATCTGGTCAAGGAAATGCTTTGCGATTGCCCAGTCGACTATCTCGTCGAGCAAATATGGCTCAAAACGATTTCCCAATCAAATTAGTCTACCAAATTCATTAAAATGTTCAAAGTTGAATCCATGCATTTTGGCAAAAAGGTCCTTCGAATCGGATCCAATCCCTAGTGAGTACTAGCCTTGTTAACAAGGCTTAACGAGGCTCCAAGTTTGACCAGGCATTAATGGTAGTAATTTTAAGGTTTAATGTAATTTTTTGAGCACTATTTTACAGAATTTTGCTGAATTTTTAGTATCAAAATGAAGCTAATAATATTGGCTTTCTGATAAAAAAGTTTTAGATTACTAGCAACTTTCAATGCGTCGAGATGACTTTCCGCACGGGAGCAACCCTAAAATATCGTTAGCCATGTCTACTACTCACCCATGTCATCCGTGCCACCAAATGCAATGTGCGAAAGAATCGCACAGATGATGACAACAAAAAGAAAATGGGCTGTGAAACGAAGGGACATTTTGAATCAAATCAAATGGTTTTAATCAACACCACTCATTCGCTTTTATATCAGGGAAAGAGTCATTCTTTATGATACGCGTATGGGATAGGTTTTTCGGTTTTAAAAAACCAGAGTAAACGTTTTCTTTTTCATGTGCTTTCTTCTTTTAGTTTTCTCAAAAACGTTTTACGAGTGATTGCGGTGATTTCGGTGAGATGAGAGTTTGTTGAGCGGTGAAACGATAAGCATCTCAGTTTTAAAAAACCAGAGAAAACGTTTTATTTTTTTGATGTGATTTCTTCTTTTAGTTTTCTCAAAAACGTTTCACGAGTTATTGCGGTGATTTTTGGTGATACGGGAGTTTGTTGATCGATGAAACGATAAGCATCTCAGTTTTAAAAAACCAAAGTAAACGTTCTGTTTTTCATGTGATTTTTTCTTTTGGTTTTTTCAAAAACGTTTCACGAGTGATTGCGGTGATTTCGGTGATACGGGAGTTTGTTGAGCGATGAAACGATAAGCATCTCAGTTTCACTAGACGCTACCACAATTACAATTAGGAAAATGTAAATAGAGGAAATATTTATTTCTTAATTTTGGCGTTTGACTCATTGTTTCCTGTTTTCTTGTTTGCAAAATGTCTCCAAAAAGTCGTATCAGCTTGCTCCTATACTGGATTCTCTTCAGGATCTTTTCTAAAAGATGAGATTCCATGTTAATTTTATCGTAGCACTAGATGTGTAAAGGGTATATTTCATGTTTTTCTTTATTATGTGCTTCTCAGATCAGATTTAATATTGTACCATACTGTGGGTTTCATTTCTTTCAATCTATCAGCTTATCAAGAATTTTTGAATTTTGTTCACGATCTTTAATTTTTTCTTTTTATACTTTTTACATTGTCAGGTATGTGTATTTGTGTTGTTTGATAATAAAAGTCAATTTATTTTTAGTACACATATCAGAAAGCCGAAATCCTTCAGCTCGAAGTGGATCAGAAAAATAATAACTTTTGATTCAGAATATTAATTAATAGTTTTCACTGGATGCAAAAAAAACAAGGGTAGATCTAGTTTGATTCGGAAAGATCATTAAGTTCTTACCTTTTTCTTGTTATTACTGTTATTACTGTCTCAAAGTTTAATACTTAAAACATAAGAAGGCTTCTGCTGGTCATTTAAACACACAACGTATCCGACTGTTTACTTTTCGGATCAACTCAAACACCCGAAGAGTTCGGCATCATTTCCGACCGTTTTCTCTTTGGAGAAAAAAAGTTTTGTGTGGAAAAAGGTTTGCCTTTTCGCTGAAAGTTCGTGTTGTCTTTGAACTTAAAACATAAGAATTCCTCTTGCTAAATTTCCTACTGATTTATTTTTTTTCATTTTCAGTTCAAATTCGTAGATGATTTTCCTAATAGTCGCGGCGTTTGCTTTTTCTCTTGATGCTCAACAAATAACAGTGAATACACCGCTAGGAAGTGTTACGGTTAGTTCGAAGTGAAAATATTGGGTTGTTCAGTTATGAATGCGCGTTTTTTACTATTTTGTAAATTTCTCAAGATATCAAAATCAAGAAAAAGATATATCTGAGTATTATTCGAAAGCTGAAGATTTCCTCTACAGTTTGATATAAAAAGTTTTTGAATTTTGTTCAGCTTTTGGGCAAATTGACTGCACAGAAGAAGAGGTGGCCAAAAAATGGAAGGGTGACTTTGGATCAAGTTTTGGCTCCGCTCAAATTGAGTTAACCGTTTGATGTTTGGCCAATAGATATATCAATACAACTTTTTTTAAATATAACAATTTCAGAGCATCTTTACTTTCATTTTCTTTTCTGGGCGGTTATTTTACACCATAAAACTTGAGGAATAGCTAAGCTAGAATGGGTTTTTTCGAAAACGACCTCTCCCTTTGTGCAGTCAATTTCCCAAAAAGTTGAATGAATTGAAAAACTTTTTTATTCCAAAATGTAGAGGAGATCTTCAGCTTTCGAATGGTATATAACACTCATATAAATCTGTTCGATATCTTGAGAAATTTACAAAATAGTAAAAACGCGCATTCATAACTGGACAACCCAATAAATAGTCTATGGAATACAGAGTTCAAGCATTACAGTTTCTCAGAGATAAAAACAAATGGGCCATCTTCCCCAATTTGAAAGTCACATACAGTCGACTCTCTCTATAGCGGATGGGAAGGAGCCAAAAAAATTTTGTTTAGAACTTTCCGTTATATAGAGAGAATTTCAAGTCGAAAATTCTTTTTATACGGAGTTTTTCAATACAATTTGATCTACACATTTACCTAAGAATAAATTCACAATAGAAACAAAGCAATTTTGCTAACCTAAACTTTTAGAAAGTTGCAAAAAAAATCGTTAAATGCCAAAGTTAAATCGGGAGAACATCGTCAAAATAGTCTAATTTAATCAATATTAAAAACATTAGGGGCTCGATAATCGCTGAGTTGCTTATACAAGACGTCCTTTTGCCAATCCTGCAAATCACCCATGTTGACATCCTTCTCTTCGCCTTGAATCGACTTGAAAACAATCGAGTGGCACTGCTTGAAAGACGACAACCATCCTTCGCTTGCTTTAAAATCGGTATTTCTAGAGCATTTTGCAAGAGAAAGGGCTTTTCTCACAAAGAATTTGACCGCTAATCGAAGTATTTCGGCTGTGCTGCTTCTTGAATCATGATAGAATTTCCTCGTCTAAAGTTTTGTCTTTTGCTACACGTGCTCTTTTGATTGTTGGCGATGAAATCGAAAATTCTTCTAATATCGATTCATTTTGTGCCAAAAACGCATAAAAAGCGATCTTCTTCAATCCGTATTTGGCTTGAATTTCATCATTCGTGTATTTTCCTCCTCGCTTATCCTCAATAAGTTGAGCCTTCTGTATTATTCGTTATTCGTTTGTTCATCGCCATCCCTAAAATAAGACAGTATTAAAGAAAAAAAGTATTGAAAGACAAATAAGTAAGAAAAACTGAGAATAAGCAAACGTAAACTTTTAAATAGATATTTTTACTTAAGCACTATGTAAAATATTACTTAATATTGAAGAATTTGACAGTAAATTAATCAATTTGATGACTTGACTCAGTTTGATCTTAACTAGAGTGCGTTCCTCGCGAGTAAGTAATTACTCGAGTAAAATCTGCATGAGTAATTTTTACTCGATTAATCGACGTTTTTCATCGAGCAACTACGAGTAATCCTCTTTACACATCGAGTAAATTGAATATCTTTATATTTGAAGGGATTTGCTACCAAATCAGTTAAACGGCTGAATATCTTTCAAAAGAGTCGTATATAAGTCGTCGCTCGTGATTTTTTTGCGACAATTTTTTGCAATAATTTTCGCTAAAAGTAGGGTAATTTTTCCTAAGTGTGCGTTTTACAAAACGCATTACTCGTGAGGAACACACTCTAATCTTAACTATTCCGTTATATAGAGAGGCCGTTTATATAACGTTTATATTTAAGCAGTTCCAAATTTTTCCTCTGTTATAGAGTTTTCGTTATATAGAATTCCGCTATATAGACTTTTTTTATATTTAAAATAGCTTAGCGTTGGCCGGGACCAAAATTCCATTCTCTTATGTGGCGCTATATGGAGTTCCGTTATAGAGAGAGTCGACCGTACATACAAGAAAGCACGATGGATCAAATTGCGAAAGAAAACGCGTGCTGCCTATTTTCTTGTTGCATCTACTTCGTAGATTTGATTGAGCTATGTAAAAACGGGGAAATCTGTTGAATACTTTTGTCAATAGCGAATCTTTTTCGAAATTCATTCAATTTAGGGTTTCCACGTTAACTACGGAAAAAATAATGGATCAAGTTTGTGGTACGGCGAAGGAGACATCTTTCTTGGGATTCCCTTTGCTCAGCCGCCCGTTGGCAATCTTCGATTTCAGGTCGTTTTTTTGAGAGTACCTTATGCAAACATTTTTTTTATTGCTCTATAGCTCTTCAATTTTTTTGTTTAATTTAGGCACCACAACCGATTCGTCGTTATCCAAATGGAAACGTTGATGCAACACAGTACAAGTTGGTTGTTTTTTTTGCTAACGATTTGCATTTGACCTACGCAATTAGAAATGTTTTCTTGCATCACTTTTAGAACAAAGGAAAGAAGGAAAAGAAATGTTAAAATTACAGAAGAAAGTTGTAGTGAAGTTTAAAAAAAACAAACGTAACTTAAATGCTATAATAATTTTTCTTGGCTCAAAAAAACTTTTTTTCTTTCTTGGCTTTCTTCTCTAGCTGTAAATGAAAAATTCTTTAAGTAGAAAATCATTAAATAATCTTAATTAATCAGTAAAATATTCTTCCTCTTACTTTGTAAAGGACTTTAGAGATTTTACATGAAATTTCTTTCTAGAGCCGCGTGTCCTCAAGGACCCGGGCCGATGTGCCGAAATCAGTCGGAGGATTGTCTATACCTCAACGTCTACTCCCCAAATGTTTGTCAGAAATTTTTTTTTCCATAAAGTAAAAGACTTTTCAGGTCTCCTCCCAGAATAAATACCCTGTGATGATCTGGATCCACGGGGGAGCACTCCTCACTGGATGTGCTTCAATGGCTCCGTACAAGGTCTTTTTCTATGAAGATATTAGGTTGAGTACCGATTCTTGATAACCCCTTTTCAGTTTTTCTTTTATAAATAATGAAAGCACCAATACAATCAAAATTTTTCTCAAATAAAGGTTGTTTATAGTTTAATTTGCGATCTCCTGAAGCAAATTTAGGTACGTTTTGAAACTAGTTTGCGCAGGTATTCATGTTTTTCTGAAAATTCTTTAAACAGACTAAATCAATTGGACAAATAGAGCTTAGAATTTGGTTATAGGCCTAACTTTTCATGCTCTATCTTGTTTCTATTAACATCAAAATAGGTTTCTGTGGAAGAAAGTGCTAAAATCGCTTTATCGAGCGGTCACCGTTTCGCCCTCTCAACTTCTTTTCACCATAAAATCTATAAAACCAGAGCTTTTCTTAATCTCTTAAAAGCTACTTTTAGAAAATGAATAGATCTTTACATTCATAAAAACCGTAGATTATTTAATACATTATTTCTTTCTAAAAATAAAAACATGTTATCAAGAATTAGTACTCAACTTAATATCTTTTCAGGGGAATTCCTTACTTTCTTTCTTAAAATCCCCTTCTCATCCTATTTTTTACGCAGCCTACATCGATTTTCATAAAAATTAGTGAAGTATCAAATACTCTCTGGCAGAAAAAAGATTCTTTTATTCTACAAAAACTCTTGAAAAGTTCTTGACTTCAGGTCACTATTCAGGAGTGCACAAACATATTTAAGAGTCAACGATTTCACTTAGGATCCTCAATAAGACTTGTTCTGTTTACAGGGCGCTGTCCGCAACTTGGTCTCTCATGGTGTTGTGGTCGTTGTGCTTCAGTATCGGCTCGGTCTGCCCGGATTCTTTACAACAAACACCCCAGATTTCCCGGCAAATCGAGGGCTGTTGGATCAGGTGATTTGTGCTGTTAGATAAATTAAAGTCATATTGTAGCTGGAAGCTCTTAAATGGGTTCAACAGAATATCGCCTCATTTGGCGGAAACCCTCAACTTGTCACGTTGTTCGGAGAATCGGCTGGCTCAATGTCCGTCTCCGCGCACACTTTTTCTCCGTTGAGTAGAGGTGAGTTAGTGCTTTGGTTTTTTTTCTAATTGTAAATTGCAAAAGCGACACTCGAGCTGGAATTCGAACTCACGATTTTTCGCTTAACGCGCAGAAGCATTAACTAGCCACTGAGCTAAATAAACTATTCAAAGAGAACGAAAAAGAAGAAAACTCCCGTTCTACCAAATAACGGAAACAAGTGCCACAATCAAACAATGAAAACATGAGTTTTAGGACTTTTCCATCAAGCCATCATGGAATCGGGTTCACTTTTCACGACCCTAGATGGCTACAATGTCTACAAAAACTTGAGCGCCACAAGAGCGCAACAGGTTTGGTCGTAAGGTTGTTGAATCTATTGCATTTTGCCTAGCTTTGCGGCATCCCGGTTTCCCAATTCCCAAACGCGAACAGAGATCAGTTGCTCGGTTGTATGAACACATTGCAACCACAACAGTGGACCGCATTGGATCAGGTTAGCAAGCGGGATTTCCAATCGTGAGCAAAATATGTAAAACTTTATATCGTTAACAGCAGAAATGGTCTAGATGATCTAACCGACCAAAGTATGCTATTCGTCCAACTTTTCTTCATAAAAATGGCATTTAAGTTGAATAATAGTCTTTCTCTTTACTCTTTAGTATTTGAATACCATTGTATGTATTAGAATCTTAGTATTAGCTCTTTAGTATTAGAATTCCTGCTAGTAAAAACTACTGTATTGAGTCAGGGTCCAGTCAGGAGAACCCGAATATCCAGGTATCTAAACTGTGATTTGGGAAATTCTTAGAAGGGAAATGTTGACTGAGACTTTGCATAGCTAGTTAACACAACCTTTGCTCAAAAAGCTACCGTATTCCCTTACTAGATTAGGCCTGGAGAATCTAGACTTTAGCCAGTTCAAGGCTTGACGACATGGCAACACTTTTACTATTAGGATGGTAGGAATCAAACCAGCGCTCACATATTTTTCCAAAAATAAAAGGATTGCAAGCTTAAGCTAATAAGTGTTGTATACTGTTCAAAAGCTCGAAATTTTCTCTACAAAATCACGCAAAAAGATTTTCAATTGGATTGATTATTGGGGACTTAGGTGTTAAAAAGTAACCGTAGGTCGAGGTTCAAGCTGGGTACCTGCGCCTGCTAACAACTATCGCTTCCACGGATCTTTTGGCTTGAAATTTTTCCAGTCTATTAAGGATATACATTACTCAATATTTGTATCAAAACTCAAACGACCTGCTTAGATTCTATCGAGATATGAGCCCAAGTTGAAAGTGGCCGTTTTTTGGCCTAAAATGAGGCTTGTTTGAAAAACAAAGATTTTCCTCTAGAAGACAAACAAAGAAAAAAGTTCTTTTCTTTTATGTTATTTTGAAATAACTTTAATTGGCTGTATTTTCTAACAGAAAACACGGGCATGGCTATTACCAAACACATTTTCCATAAAATCGTCATTTTTGACCTTTCAACTTAAAAGTCACCCAAGTCTTTAATAATCAATCCAATTCAAAAATTTTTTGCACTATTTTGTAGAGGAGATTCAGAGCTTTTAAACAGTATACAACACTTATAGGCTGAGGCTTGAAACCTTTCTATTTTTAGAAAGATATGTGAGCGCTGGTTTCATTCTCACCAGCCTAATTGAAGAGTCATCCCGTGTTTTTAAAGCAAAAATTGAGTTCCACTCTTTTTACTAAAAAAAATGTTGTACTCTACTTGAATTACTTTGTGAATGTTTGAATTTGTCCACGGATCACCTAACTGTTGCATCTAGACTGAGCAGTCCGGTTGGCCGATAATTCTCGACAATAATTTCCTGCCGGCCACACCCGAAACTCTGAATTCCCAGAGGCAGAGAATGCCGGTGATTTATGGAAACATGAAGGACGAATACGCTTTTGTGTGTACGTTTAATTCATATCTTTTGATTAATAATTTCGGAATTTAAGCGGCTAACTTATTCTCTTTTTAGTATACATATCGATGGGTCCTCCACAAAATGTCCCGATGTCGGCCTTTAGCCGGCAATACGTGCAAAAACTGTTGCAGGACGCGATTCCGTTTTATGGGAGCAGTTTGCCACTTGTATGGAATGTCACTAGCAATGTAGGTTACTTGTGAATCCCATTCTGTTTAATTTGACTTGAGTGCAAAACTTTTATTGTAAATTCGAATTTGTTGGTTAAAATGGCAAATAATGAGCATTGGGCGATGCTCTTTTCGGCAAATTTGCTTGCGGGTTCGGATTTAGCAAAACATTTTGTAGTTTTATGCCAATAGCAAGTGCCCAAGTAACTTTTAGGCCTATTTACCCAAAGGGACATCGGACAGTGATGCAGCGACCTGGTGGATGACCGCTAATAATGTATAGTCGAACTATTCAGAGTTGATAAAAAAAAAAGATTCTCAGATGCTCACAGGACTGACTTTCACGCAATGGATTGTGAAAGATGCAAAGATGCAATTGAAAAACGAGAACTCGAATGTGTACCTCTTTGAGCAAACATATCCAACAAAGATGGCACAACCGAGTGCTGCGAGTGAGGTGGTTACACAGCAATTGGGAGGATATCGACGTGAGTTTCATGAAACCATAGTATGGAAAGCCACAGCTAAACAGCTTTCAATCACAGTTTTCTAGCGGTCGCGCACACCGCCGAGCTTCCCTACATTTGGATGATGACCGATGTTTGGGATGCAATGATGCAAAATAAACAAGTTGGTGAGATTAATTGATTAAGGTTAAAAGAAGTTTTGGGTGAGTGAATTCGATGTGGCACTGGCTAACGCCTACGGACTCTGGTGGACAAATTTTGCGAAACACGGGTAAGCGAATTTTTAATTTATTTGTAAGTTTGCAAATTTTAGACGACCAACTCTGGATGGTTCGTGGTCGCCGGTTCAACTGGGAACCAATCAATTAAACCATTGGAGAATCGACGATCCGCAAAAGGGCGGAATGCAAATGATTCGAGGCTACAGGGACCGGGATGATTTTGTTTATCAGCAGGTGTGCTCAATGTTTTTGAACACTTTTGTCTAACAAGGGATTGGTCCAAACTAGCCGGAAGATTTCGCCGCGCCGCTGAAATGCAAACGCCTGCAGAACAGCATATAGACGGTGCTCTATTTATTTTGGCCCTCTCAATGGTTCATAAAAAAAACGCTTCCAAAGTTTGGGCACCGCGCCCAAACTTGGGAAATTGCACCTGATGTATAGGCTCTTTCCCTTCCCTTCAACATGACCGGATGGTTTAGAGTTATGTGTGCGAGCTCTTAATTCTACTTTTACTTTTTTGCCTTTTGCTTTTGCAACCGGATCCGAACCAGAGTCAAAAAAGCAAAAGTAGGATTAGGAGGGCGCACACTTACCTCTACACGCTCCGGTCACGTTTGAGTAAAAGGGAAAGAGCGTATATATTCCCGAGATGCGATTTCCCGAGTCCAAACCTTGCAAGTGTTTTTCTTGTAAACCATTGGGAATGCGCAAAAATAAATAGAGCACCGTGTTCCCTATGCTCGATCAGTGTTTGCATCTCAGTGGTCCCGCAAAATCGTTTGGCCAGTTTGAACCATTCCCTTGTAAGACCATCCCGTCTATCACCCACTCTCCACATCCATTGATCCCAGTCTTATTGAATTAAAAACTTATAAATTACTAACTATCATAATTTAGTTGTAATAAGCGACTAAATTTTGAGCTATTTTTCTAACTATTTAATCACCCAAACAAAACATATTTGGTTTTTAAAAAAGTCATTCTAAAATCTCCTCTCATTTTCAGCTTCTTCCAAATTTACTCGCTCGACGGTCAGCAGGGACGAGCAACACACAATCATTTATCCAAGCTGTAACCAATAAATATTGAATAATAACTGGGCAAAAAAAAACTTTTGCGTTGGAAAATACTATGGTTTTCTAATTTCACCTCTGTTCCTTGATATTTAACAGAAATTCAATGTAGATAGACATTTTTTGACGAATACAAAACTGTTTTTTCCACAATGATCCAACAAAACACCTATTCACAAAAAATGTCTTGAGACTTTCGAAAGCTCATCGATTTTAATTGAGGATGTAATTCTTGACCTGTAATTGAACAGACCAACTAGCCCTCTCTTCTGTTTCTGCAGGTTTGATCTCAAAAATGACGTCATTCATATATGTGCATATATAGAAGTTTTTATGCATAAATTAGTGAATTAAAGGAGGGCTCTGAATTAGGAACGATTCTCACTAAAACCAAATTGGTAGCAGATAAATGACGATAATTTTTGATGAAGTTTCTTTTTTTAGTTTTTTTTAGAAATTATTAAAGTAAATCGGTTTATCAGGTATTAAAAGATGAAATCAGCTCTTTGTAGGTCATTCCAATCTTGAGTTTTTAGCTAGTTGCGTTGTGGAAAATTGCAGCCAAATTTAAGGCAAGAAATTGATCCTAAAAATTTGGGCACAGTGACGCCGAGAGCAAGGGTTCACTCGTTTCTCACCGTTCCTCCTCCTTTGATGATTCCAAAAGGGAATCACCATATACCAAAGCGGTTTGCCAGACGGCGAGCGATTATGCTTCCGTACAAAGAACACCTAGCCAGTCATTTACACAGTGATTTTTCTTTTGTTCTGGAAACGATTCCCAAATGAGATTTAATGTTAAAACTTTGTGCCCCGGGGTTTGCAGGATCGTAGAACCTATTGGTGGAGTCTATTTTAACCTTTGTGAGTAGAAAGAATCAACGAAAAGATAGTGATCGATCTCACTAAAGGAACAAGTTTCTCTCGTTCTATCAAACCTCTGGCCTATTTGGTCATGATATTGATTTTCTAAAAAAACCGCTTCATTGCTTAAGAAAATTCTCTATAAAATTCTGAAGAAAAATTGTGATAACTCAACAATGACGTACGTCGATTTATCATCTTCAATAACTTCATCTTCGCTCGAACTCATCTCAAATAAAAAATCCAATAAAGAAATGATTCTAATTTTCTGCAAGGGCAGTGGCTTGCCAGTTGACACGCTCAAACCTGTAGAATCCTGTAGAACTTCAAACCTCAAATCGCGACAGGAGATGCTCATTAACAAAAGTTTGCTGAATATGGCAGGATCAACCGATTTGTTTCTGTCATTTTTGGTATACAAAGCATCAAATAAAAGCAAAATGATAGTTATTGGCGAAAAAATTTTTCACTTGGAACCGCCCCCGCCCCCTTGAATTTCATCAGTTGAGTATAATGAACGATTTGCTCAACGATCTTGAGCTCAACGATGTTGACGCTCAACGGTCAACGACCGATTCTCAAAAGTCCCCAAACGGAAAGCAAACCCAAGAATCGGCAAAAGGGAAAGGGAAAGCAACAAGAAATCCACAACTTTATTTGGCTACTATACAGATTTGTTTTTGTTTTAATAAATCCGATTTCATTTTATTTTCAACACCATTTCTAGGGTTCAATATCAAAAGAAATGATGTTGCGTTCCTTTGAGTAAAGCGTCACTTCGACCCATGGTCCATGTGTGATGACAAATGTCGATCCTCCAGCATCCACTTAACACAAATCATGTAATATGTATTGTATATGTATGTAAAACACTTCAGAGACGACAAGACAAGACAAGACAAAGCCTATCTTTGCTCTGGAAATGTTGTATTCTGTTTGATATAATAGAAACCAGAAATAAACTGAAAACCTTTGCAAATCTTGGTGCCCTCTTTTTCACCTTGTGCCTTAACCGATTCGATGGTGGGGCCCATTTGCACACGCACGTTGGAAGTACACTAAAGTAGGGCATTTTTTCAAAACTTCTACTTTGTTGCACATCAGTATTTGTATTTTTACATCAAGAAGCCAAACGCTCTCGTAGTCAACCTCAATTTTCTCACCGATTGAGCTGTCGTGAAGCCGGTAATGGTGACCTTTGATCCTCCCTTGATGAAGACACGACATTTCGGGTTCACCATCGAGTCCGGATAGAGGCTGTTTTGCATTTTGACTTGCATCAACCCGTTGTTGTTGTCCTTGTAGATTATTCCATCGCATTCGACCGCTGAAACACGCAAAAGTTTATCAGTTTGCAACAGTTTGCAGCTGATTTGTTCTAGAAACAGAGAATAGGATTCTTTTATTGTTTATTATACTTTAAAGTTGTTCGAACGTTCTAGATTACAATTTATTTGGTTTACATCTAATGGCTTACATCTACATGAGAAAAATAGCCTCATTTTCCACTTACTATGTGGCGTGTCCAGGAAATTTCGTGCGTGCGGATCCAACAAACCCTAAATGACCGACTAGTTATTTAAGAGGTTACCTAGAACTGGGTAACGAACGTCGCTGGGTAATATGGAGTCGGAGATTGAAACAATCAGGGCACGTTGATTGTGCTATTACAATTGTTAAAAGTCAAAAAGTGGTCAAATATTGCGAAGAGGGGTAGGGTTTAATTTTCAAAGTAAAAGGCCTACCGCTCCCTCCAAAACAATCCACATTTCAGCGATCATCAACGAGAATAAGCGCATTTTTTTTAGAAAATAAAAACTGAAAAGACCAAAAACAGAAAAGAAAACTTCTGCACCACCCTAAAAGCTGAAACTTTATATTTATTCATTTCTATTTATATATATGCTTTATTCAGGACGCGAATAAAAGCGAGTCAGATAATCATAGACGCACATAACATATTGCCATATTTAAAACATCGCACAGCTATTTTTAAGTTTTTATCTATTAAAAGCGTTCCATTTTGGGCTTCACAGCTCCAGAAAACTACGTGGTAAAAATGATTTTCTATAAGTGTGTTGTAAACAAAAAGTTTTTCACGAGCACAGATAGTGAGATGCTTTATAAAAGGTAGAGAAACAAAAATAAAAAAGAAAAGACCTTAAAAGACCAGCGTAAACTTCTGCATCACCCTAAAAGCTGAAACTTTATATTTATTCATTTCTATTTCTATTTCTATTTCTATTTATATATATGCTTTATTCAGGACGCGAATAAAAGCGAGTCAGATAATCATAGACGCACATAACATATTGCCATATTTAAAAACTTAAAAATAACTGTGCAATGCTTTATCAAAAAGCGTTCTATTTTGGGCTCCACAGCTCCACAAAACATCGTAGTAAAAAATGATTTTCTATAAGTGTGTTGTAGACAAAAAGTTTTTCACGAGCACAGATAATGAAATGCTTATTAAAAGGTAGAGAAACAAAAATAACAAAAGACTAAAATACAAAATGACTAACGTTGTTAGGAAGGAAATCAAAAGGGAGAAAATCAAAAGATGTAAGCTGACTTTAAGCTTTTTGCTGTCTGTAAGTTTAGTGAATGAAAAGTCTTTTTCTATTGGAAGAAGTTTTTTGATCAAGAATGTGATGAGTGTCTTTTTGTGAACTTTTCTTGTGCAAAAATAGCATATAAGATTATCTGATAAATTAGTATCAGAATTTTTATTTAATTTTATTTAATTTTAGTGAGCTAAGAGCGCAATCTATTTTTTTAAATGTAGTAGATGTAGACAAACTTTCTAAATTTACGCTCTCAAGCAAGTGCATAGGTAAAAGTGAAAAGACGGCAAATCCACAAAAGAATTTATCTAGGAGAAAATCGGATACAGCTCCCCATGTGCTTTCTCCAATTTGGGACTATTCTTTGGGAATCTGCGGGGGTCTCTATATGCATTTTAAACTGTATTTTGTGTTCAGTTCATGAACGGCACTGATCGAGGCGCGCTGCCACTTCTGAGGGTTATTGAGGTCATGCGGCACCCAAGCCCCAAGTTTCGATTTAAATCCAAGGGTATGAAGGTGCCTTAGCACTGTAGCATGATCAACCCCTAACTCTTCTCCCAATTCACGTGAGGATACCTGATGGTCGTTGGTAATGAGTTCGAGTCATTTGGAAGCATCCAGTTGGGGTGCCGCTGCACGGCCCTCTGCATCTTTCAAAGATTTGTCCCCAGATCTAAACTTGGCAAACCATACTCGACACGTTCTTTCGAAAGGTGATTTCTTCTCATATATCTTTTTTAATATTCGCAGCTGCGAAGCCTGAACTGTGCTCTTGTAGGAACTCATGAAGCATGACATGAAGAATATGTCCCGGTGGCAGATTGTCGAGTGCAATAGAAGTAAAGAAAAATACCAAAAAATAAAAAGTTGAAAGCATAATTTTTTCGCAATAATTTGAAGAAATGTTGAAGTAACGAAACCCCCTTTCAGCTGGTTCAATGCTGTTGTTTTTTTATCTGCGAGTTCCGCGAAATGGCCTGCAGTTTTCAATTCACCAATCCAATAGAAAGATTTGAACGAAATTTTTGAATATTTAGCAATTACGAAGAGGAAGGGGATTAGGGAAAACTAAGGTGCTTTTCAAAATGATAGGACCACCACTAAATTTTACATTTTTTTTGGCTATGAAATTTAATAACGCGAAATAGCTTTTAAATCCTAGAAATCTATCCAAAAATAGGCATATATACAATTTTTAACGTTTTCTGAACAAATTGCGACAAAATTATAGCAATTTCTTTATTTAACACCTTTTGCAAAATGCTAGGACAATAATAAAAGAATGAAAAGTTCATTAATAATCAATAGTGAGTCATAGACCATTTGACGCTGAATTTCGCGCCGAATCCAAATCTGCTTCCCGTTTTTGCAAAATAGCATTCTATCAAAAGTTCGAAGCAAAGTTTTGTATGGGATTTCAAAAATCACACCCTGGAGCGGTCCGCGGAGCCCCAGTTTCATTCCATGATATTCTCTATGAATCTAGCTTTTCCCTTGATATCTCTGAACTCTGATTATCCTCTATATTCCTTGTTATCAATCATGGCTTCAAGAGAAGCCCTTACAGTACTACAATATTGTGTTGGATATTTTGACAATACAATATATACAATATTTTTTGTTGTTCAGTGTTACACTACAGTAGATTCTCTAAAACAATGAACGAATGGAACACGGCGATGGCAGAGAAGAGAAAAAGCAAGAGCAAGTTTAGACTAGATGCCAAAAACGATAGCTTCAGTTTTCATTCCATATCTCGCTCGAGCATCTGCCCGTTTTTCCTCTAGTTTTCGCACCCATCCATTTCACTGTTGGTTCGTTGATCAGAAGTGTGTCAAAAGATGGTTCGTTGGTCGATATCTATTTATGTATTTTCCGTTGGTTTGATCAATTTCATATTGGGATGTCATCGACCGCAACTGTGGGTTCTGGTTATAGCTATTGCTACTGGCTACTGAATCGTAAGAAAACATGATTTGACTCTTTTTCTTTTTTCGGAGTTTTAATATTAATGGAAGATCCGCTACAATTTTTAAAATAAACGTATGGCATATTTTTTGATACTTATCAGAAAAAAAAGCTTGAGAGTAATATCTAGAAAAATTCGTTGAGCTTATTCTTTGACAACCAGAGAATCAAGAAGAGATCAATGACTTTTTATTCTTTGGATCAAATTTTAAGACTGCCTGAGTTATTTCAGCGTATTATTTTATAGTTTTCCTTATCCGATCCCAAATTGCCAAGTTGTTTATTCAAATTAAATTTTAGGGGAGCAGCCGGTGAGTCCAAAGAAGATGGATTGGGAGTTTCTTTTTAAAAGCCCTAATTACAGAGAAATTCAGATTGTACTTCTTGCGAAGAGGATCTCAGTTCTTTCGTTGTCAATGTGGCCACTTTTCCTGACAAATTGCCCAGCGAAAAGTCGGCGCCAGTGATCTTTAACTACAAGTCAGTGAAACAGTTAATCGTAAGGGTACAAACGGCATCAAGCATTTTGTGATCCGGTACACTTTATTGGATCTGATTCCGGATAATGAAACCTCTACAAATTGAGTTTATGGTTTATGGTTTATTGTTGTAAACATCGAATATACGGCAAATTTGCAGGACACGTCCTGACGGATGCATGATCGCGTCGTCTGTGTGCAATCCGGATGCCTCCCCAAAACTGGCGACCCTTTTCGCAATCGCCAAGAGTGTTGTGAGTGAAAGTTTAGTATTCAAAAAAGTTCAAAAATTTAGCTGACAGCCGTCAGCGATTTAAACACAGCCGTTTTCTTTGGCGGCCAAACGCAAGGGCCGGCGAGGACTACAAAAACCGAGTTCCGATGCGAAAAGGGAGTGTGGTATAGTGTGGTAAAGGTTTGTTTTGCAAAAGGTTTCAGAAATATGACCCGATATGGTTTTTTAAATTCAATCTGTTCAATGAATAGCCGCAAGTTTTATAAAAGGCTTTAAGGGGGAAAAACAATGTTGCAATTCTGCAAGAAGTTTCTATAAATAAATCACAGAAATGGTAGTGTTGAAAAAAAAAACAATTTTCCAGGCAAATCCAAAAAAGAGGCTACCGGTGGGATCAATTATATGTGTTACTGAGGTTAACAGTTCGGGAAAATAAATGCCATCGTTATGAATATTATTTATTTGCTGGTTACTAATTTTTTGGCTCTAAGTTCGAAGCCTATTTTGAGATTCCGCATTTGTAAATATTCTATCATGCATAACAAGTAAATATTCTATCATAAATCTACTCATTTTTTGAATTCAAAGTTTGTTAAAAAGAATTTACAAAGAAGAAAACTTAAACTCGCTTCTGAAAGTCAATGGGTTATTTTCTAAAAACTACCAAAAGGTTCTCAAATTGTTTCTCAAATCTCAAATTTGTTCAAAAGTTCAAGTTTTTGCTTTTAATTCATTTGCACATTTGCATTTTAGAATCTAAAATGACTCATGAAGTCAAGTGAAGCCAACGTATTTAAACTAAATAGACTTTAATTTTACAGTTTCAGTATCTTAAATTTACCGATGCTGTTATAATATTAACAACGTCGTTGAAGCTATAGGTCAAATGAGCGCTTGTATCTGGAGGATGAATAAAAAAGCCCATTAAACAGAATGCCCCAAAATTACTCGAACCAACCTCCGTTTGCCGCGCTTTACTGTTAATTATCTGGATATTTTGAAGCAGGAAGTGCTGCCTTGGGTACAAAACCACTTCGGAAACAAAATTTGGTGCTTTTAGCAGGATTGGGCGCCTGCAGGATTGGGCGCCCACAAAGCCCGGGTGGTCCAAGAGCCATCAACGTGTTTTTATTGAATGAGTTTATGTTTATCAATTTCAATATCTTGCAATAAGGTTAACAATTCGAGTTTATTCGAAAAGCAATTACTTTTTTGAGTTTCGTGAGCAGAGAACGGCCATGATGGCCACAAAGAGGAATCCGACTTCGATGAAAGTGATCGTCGAGACACCCATCAACACACCCAATAGACCGCCCAGATTACCGATGAACGAGTTCAACTTAAATAGAAAGACTGTGCATATGATAAAATACGCGTTTTTGCACTTTTTAAACAAACCCTTATAAAGTTATTCCCGTCTAATTGAGTTGTTATTTGCATCTAATTATTGAGCTGATGAATTGAAAACTGCGAGCGATTATTATATGTGACAGTTTGAGCACTTTCTTCAAAAGAAACCCATTTTGATGTCAATGGAAAAGTTGTAGAGAATCAAAAATCAAGCTTATATCCAAATTTTCAGAACGATTCAAAAACTGGTTTTCAAGAAATGCCAAATTCACGAATTTTCACAAAACTTGCATTTTAAGCGAAACTACTAAGTGTATCTTTTTGGAAATTTGGCTATGAGCCTAATTTTTGATTCTCTACAACTTTTCTATTGACACCAAAATGGGTTCCTTTTGTAGAAAGTGCTCAAACTGGGCTGACAGCTGACATCTCCAGTCCTCCATTTTTGAGTCTCACACTTGTCTCACACACAAACCAAAATCGCATTGTCTATTGTCATATGTCACAGTTTGAGCACTTTGGGATATGGAGGGAGTTGCTGGGAGTTGCTGGATAGAAAGACGACCCTTAATGCAATCAAATACAGTGAACAGTTGGAAAAGGTGAATGAATCCCTAAAGAAGAATAGGCCCTTCAAGTCAAAGATCGTTCTCCTCCACGACAACGCGCGCCCTCATGTTGCAAAACTGACTCACTCTAAAATAAATAGCCTTGTTTGGGAACTTTTGTCGCATCCCGCATACAGTCCGGACCTTTTGATTACTATTTATTCCGGATCATGAGTAAGCTTGCCGGAGAACACTTCAATTCGAAAGAAGCATTCAAAAATTGGCTTTGAAAGTTTTTCGATTCAAAACCAAAATCCTACTACGAAAGAGAAATCCGCAAATTGCCTGTAAAATGGGCAGAAGTCGTCAATAATAATAGAAATTATTTGGAATGAATTGATGGTTTTATGTTGAATAAATTTTAGTTCAAAGTCCCGCAGTTTTCAACTCAGCAACCCAATAGAAAGACTGTGCATATGATAAAATACGCGTTTTTGCACTTTTTAAACAAATCCTTATAAAGTTATTCCGGTCTAATTGAGTTGTTATGTACATCTAATTATTTTCCCTTTTTCCAACTAGCCTTTGAAGGTTATTACCGATTCGGCTGGTGTCTCGGCGAAGAGCTGGTACGTGTAATCGGTCATGATCACCGCCACTCGCACCGTATCCTGGAATAGTGAACTATTATGAATCGATCTTTGCACTATGGCTTCAATTTCATCGCCTTTTCGTCAAAATTCTTACCGCCCAACCGGCTGAGCAATTCCCGTAGGAGACTCCCGTTTGATTGCATTGAGGCTTCTGGAATCAATGTATTGAGCTTTGCAACTTATGAAATACTGAACTCTTCCCTTCAAGTATAAAATTCTAAAGGGATTTTTGAAAAATATAGTTTATTTTAGGACGCTTTTAAAAGGGAACAGAGAAAAGCTGGACTTTGGGCTTCCTGGCAACCAGCTTCGAAAATATAGGGGCTGAATTTTGAGCTTCTTGACAACCATTTCCAATAGAATCCTTTTGGGTGCACCAAAAAAGCAAAAGATCTACGGCAAAAAGCAAAAAGAAAAGCGCCAGAAATCTTTTCTTTGCCAATCACTTTTTTGCCTTCACAATTACTTTAGTTAAAGATTCAAAAGTTTAAAAGAAAGACAAAAAAACTGTTCTTTTTTTTATACTTTTTGGAAGGGTTACAGTAAAAAAACTGCAAATGCAGTCTTTTTTTAGTTCAATCACTTTTCAAAATAGTCAATATGACTTTGACAGAGCACTCACTCTCATAAGATTATAGAAAACATCTTATAAGAAGTCTGAAAAACCTAAAGGGACTTGGCAATGTTTACCCTCTTTTAGTACTTTAAATGTAAATGTAAAAATGTTATGAATCTATTAGTCTTTTAGTTAAATGTTACCCTTTGTGAATAGGTTGACATCATCCACGTCACATCGTACTCTCTTTCAGAACACGCGTTCGGGCACACACAACTGGCCCATGTCGATGGATCGCCAAGCTCTGTTGTCACGTCATCGACACATGTTCCTAAGCATTCATGACGTTTTCAAAAAGTATTCAAATAGGTTACTTTGCGTCAAATTACATGGCGTGGCTGCGAGTGGCATCGGGTATCGTGGATCCATGCATTGACAACGATCCTCGCACGCTTGTTGATAGCACGATTGAAGACAACCCTAAAGGCATAACATACACAAATCTACAGTAGATATAAGGCAACACGGATCGATTGAAGACAACCCTAAAGCCATAACATACACCAATATATAGTAGATATAAGGCAACCCGACCCCTAATTTTCGAAACCGGTAGGTAGGTTAACCCCCGGTCGATTCGGTCTAAAATAACTGGCGTCTAATATACATCAAGCTACTTGTAAAGTGCTTGTTTATATTGCAATGGTTCAACATACCGTAAATGCTGTATTAGAACGACAGGTCATTCTATTTTTCAATACCCCGTAGACTGTCGTTCTATTAGAGGGTGTCGCTCTATTTTTCACTCTAATGGCCACTGCAGATCACAAAAAAATAGTATCGATTATCCATTATCCATTTCAAAAAAGCGTATATCATTTAATAAGTATTTTATTAAAAACATCAATGTTAACAAAACATTATGATTTAGCCCATAACGTACAAAGAAAGTTTATGCCGTCGAAGAAACTTTCTAAAGATCGGTGGCTTTTATTGAAATTGATCCCTGCTCTTGTAAATCTCATTGCTGCCTTATCCAGAACAATCCTTCAAGTGATTCGCTTCTTATTGTCGCGTTGTGATCAAATCCAATCGATCAATTGGTCAACTTCTGCCGCCAAAAGATGTCGACCACCTCCATCAAGTCGTTTTCTCTTATTGTTGAGATCACCGAGCTGTTGAGCTTTTCTTCTGATTTTTTTCAATAAATGATTGACGAACGTGACTCCACGTTATCCTCATTTTCACCTATTGCCTTCGTTGATCACTCAACATTATGTAGACAAACTTTCTAAATTTACGCTCTCAAGCAAGTGCATAGGTAAAAGTGAAAAGACGGCAAATCCACAAAAGAATTTATCTAGGAGAAAATCGGATACAGCTCCCCATGTGCTTTCTCCAATTTGGGACTATTCTTTGGGAATCTGCGGGGGTCTCTATATGCATTTTAAACTGTATTTTGTGTTCAGTTCATGAACGGCACTGATCGAGGCGCGCTGCCACTTCTGAGGGTTATTGAGGTCATGCGGCACCCAAGCCCCAAGTTTCGATTTAAATCCAAGGGTATGAAGGTGCCTTAGCACTGTAGCATGATCAACCCCTAACTCTTCTCCCAATTCACGTGAGGATACCTGATGGTCGTTGGTAATGAGTTCGAGTCATTTGGAAGCATCCAGTTGGGGTGCCGCTGCACGGCCCTCTGCATCTTTCAAAGATTTGTCCCCAGATCTAAACTTGGCAAACCATACTCGACACGTTCTTTCGAAAGGTGATTTCTTCTCATATATCTTTTTAATATTCGCAGCTGCGAAGCCTGAACTGTGCTCTTGTAGGAACTCATGAAGCATGACATGAAGAATATGTCCCGGTGGCAGATTGTCGAGTGCAATAGAAGTAAAGAAAAATACCAAAAATAAAAAAGTTGAAAGCATAATTTTTTCGCAATAATTTGAAGAAATGTTGAAGTAACGAAACCCCCTTTCAGCTGGTTCAATGCTGTTGTTTTTTTATCTGCGAGTTCCGCGAAATGGCCTGCAGTTTTCAATTCACCAATCCAATAGAAAGATTTGAACGAAATTTTTGAATATTTAGCAATTACGAAGAGGAAGGGGATTAGGGAAAACTAAGGTGCTTTTCAAAATGATAGGACCACCACTAAATTTTACATTTTTTTTGGCTATGAAATTTAATAACGCGAAATAGCTTTTAAATCCTAGAAATCTATCCAAAAATAGGCATATATACAATTTTTAACGTTTTCTGAACAAATTGCGACAAAATTATAGCAATTTCTTTATTTAACACCTTTTGCAAAATGCTAGGACAA